CGCGTGGTGGAGAAGGAGGTCGCTCGATCCCTGGTTGATTTCATGAACGGTCGCCAGCTTTTATGTGTTGTTTCCGACTGTGTTTATGGTGAGTACTGGGTCGCTTGCGGTCGGAGTTCGCGCTCTCATGTCCTTCCGCGACAAGCTCATTCTAAAGCCGCGACAAATCCGAAGACTAAGCTGTTGCATCGCGACATCAGCGGTGGCAACATCCTCATACTACCCAAGGTGTCCAAAGAGGAAGATGGCACCCGTGCCTTGAAATGGACGGGCATCCTCGTTGACTGGGAAATGTCCAAGCCCTTGCAGAATACCGCGTCCAGACCCCGTCAGCCAGAGCGCACTGTAAGTCTACGTGGATCCCTACATACGTCGAAGCTGACGGCGCCTCTAGGGTACTTGGCAGTTCCTCTCAGTCGCACTCCTATCTCGCCCCAAGATCGTAGAGATCTGCGACGAACTTGAGAGCTTCCTCTACGTCATCATCTACTATGCCGTTCGGTACCTCAGGTCGAACCTCGAAGGGCACGCCGTAGGAAACTGGATTGACACCTTCTTCGACACGTACGGCGTCACTAGGGATGCGTACACGTGCGGCGATAAGAAAATCGCCACCATCAAGGAAGGTGTTCTCGTACTCGCCAACGACGAGAATCTGAAGTTCAACAGTCCCATGGATGAACTCTTGTCAAATCTCCTGATGTGGTTCCGCGCCCACTACATTGTCACGAAACACAAGCGTCGGCAGGATCAGGAGAAAGCTTTGCGCTACACCGCTGCCCTGCCCCCGGATGGTGTTCCCCTCGGGAAGGCGAGGAAGCCTCGGCGTGATGGCTCAGAGATGACCAATAGAGAAGACCGCAGCAAGCACGAACTTGTCGACTTTTCAAAGCCCACCGAGATGGAATACAAGTACGCAGAGTATGTGCTCGAGCACACGCGGATGATGAATCTCCTCGACGATATCGCGTACGAGCGGGAATGGCTGTCAGGTGACAGGACACCTGATCGTATCCCCTCAGATTGGGCGGCCCCTGTGAGGCCGGAGGGCCCTACGGTCCCGGCTTCGTTTGTCAGTAACCTGCACAAAAAGCCGAAGATTAGCAGAGAGGACGGTATGGTGACGATGCCTCCCTTCCCGTTCGCGCACGCGAACAGTACTATACCCAAGACCCCAGAGAAGAAGCGTGTCTCCCGGGCATGAAGTGGTGATGATCGTTTCAACGAGGTGTATGTCCTCTGAATGTACTATACTCTTGAGTTTCGCTTCCCTTGCGTTTCCCTACCATCTGTGTCCAATTGCATACTAGCACTGACCTGTATATCTGTCGGATCCTTGTGTTATGCTTCTGTTCCATTTCCGCTACTTAGTTCCACACTTTGCACCACTAGAATCCTGCTCTGCATTGCATCAGCCATTTCATGGATTGCAGAACTCGCGGTGTGCGCTTCAAGTTGTCTTACAATCAGATGGTTTTAAGACAGGTAAACTTAAAAGTACGGGGATCTTCGCTGTACGCGATGTATTGGATGCAGTCTCGGCTCTCCAGGCCTGCTACGAATCAGCGAGCACCCGTCGGCGATAGCGGCGGCGTGGCTGTGCTTCCACGTATCTACTAAGCACCAGAGTTAGGTCCTCCCCTTTTCACCTCTCGTCTGCTGGCATTCACTGGCCCGCTATGGGTTACAGCAGCCTTCTGGCTTCTTCATCTTTTCCATGTTTCTCTAATGCGACCACACATGAAGTGCCTCTGCGAACGATGAACGTCCGTGGTTTCGGCGCTGGTTGTGAGCGCAAGCGAGCCTTGTGTCGCCGAAAATGGTATCACAACTTGAACTCGGACGGCCACTATCACTTTGCTTTGTCGGTCTCGGGGCACAATACCATCTTCTATAGGGCTCGGAGCATTGCGCTCAGCATTCTCCATCGCCTTTGGGCACGCGTACCTACTATCAACTACCACCAGTCTAAAATCCCTGCTCTCTCCATCTTTGTAAGTCATGTCGCTGCTCCGTTTCGCCCATCGTGACTGACCGGCTACAGTAAACTCAGAAGCTTCTCTCTCTAAGGCTCGCACCAGGTTCCGAGTACACTACTCCTTTCAAGGAGAAAAGGTCGAGGACACCTGCCACAGCAGCGTATCGTATCTGCCGACGACATGGCCCATAACGGAGTCCCTGCGGAACTCATCGAGTTCTGTGATGAGTTCTTTCCTCAACCGACACAAGTCGCCACTGTCAAGCCGAAACCCACGCTGGATGATAACCCATTCGCCGCTCTCAAGGACGCAGAGAAGCTGTCGGGGGAGACTGTTCGAGCCGCATTTGTGAGTTTTCCTGACAGTACTGTTGGTTAACAACATTGACAGTTGTTGTGGTGTCAGGCCGCTGCTATCAATGTCCACGGTCTTGCTCCAGGATTCAAGGTGGCCGAGTGCGGAGACCGGCCGGATCCCGCCACGGCGCCACCATCCATCCCGAAAGGAAGAAGATCGATGTGGCCTTCTACCGTGTGAATGACGTCCAGGACGATGGTCGGCAGTGTTGGGCTGATCAAATCCTACCCGTCGAATTTAAGTGCGACGATGTCTCCTTGGACCCCTTCGACGACGACGAAAGGACTCACAAGGCCGTTCGCGGGCAGATCATGTCGCACGCCGAGCTCATTTTTGCCGTCCAGCATCGTGTGGCTCTCTTCACGCTCGTCGTTCTCGGTACTCGGATCCGCTTCGCCCGCTGGGACCGTTCTGGTACGGTGGTTACGAGAGCCTTCGACTATATCCAGAACTGGGAACTCTTGTGCGACATCCTGTGGCGTATCGGAAACTGTACGATGATGCAGCTCGGATTCGACCCCAGCGCGAGCCGACTGCACCCTCGACAAACGGAGTACGCCCTGATGGATGCCGCTGCCGACAACGTCGAGGGTGACTTCGACGAGACAGAACGCGTCATCTCGGGACCGAAGCTCCCAGATGGACATTTCAAGTACGTCAGGGAGATGTTCAAAAAGTCCCTGGTCGATGGCTGGCCGCGTTATAGGCTGGAGGTACCGGCTCTGGTCGAGGCAGCTGCGACTGCAACGACCGCCACTCCTGCGCATCACTCGGATTCGTCCCCCAAAGTGGACCGGTCGGCACGCAAGTTCCTCGTGTGCAAGCCTGAATTCCGGGCCTGTGGCATAGCAGGACGTGGGACACGGGGTTACCTCGCTCTTGACTGTGCGACGAAACGGTTTGTGTGGCTCAAGGACGCGTGGCGTGCGAACTACGAGAAGATGGATCAGGAGGGCGTGATGCTCGGTTCGCTCAACTCTGCAGAAGTTCCATTCGTGCCGACGCTTCTTTGTCATGGAGATATCCTGCAGCAGACGACGGCGACCCCTGACTGGTGGGAACGCAAGAACCCACTGCGCTCTCCGACCTCCTCCGCAGGCACCGCTTCTTCGCATACGCTGGTCGTGCCTTTGAGGTCTGGGATTCTGAAGAGAAAACGGGCTGAAGAATCGTGCGGCGACCCATCAGCGCCACCACATAACACCGACGGGGATTCCGACGAAGGGGAAGATTGGGGCACCGATTGCCCTCTACGTCTGCACATGCACTATCGTATCGCGATGAAGGAGGTTGCCATGCCCCTTAGCAAGTTCAGGCATGATCGTCAGCTGGTCGGCATCTTCTACGACTGTCTACATGGTAAGTGGGTGGATGTTTGTTGTGACTCGGGATTGACTTTGAGAATATCTGTGTAGCCCACAAGAGCGCTGTCGAGCGCACGAAACTCGTGCATCGTGATGTTAGTCCTGGAAATATCCTGATCTATCCGAAGGTGATCAAGATGCGTGGCAAATACTGGCTAAGGTGGTCTGGACCGCTGGCTGACTGGGAGCTGTCGAGAGCGGTTCATGAGCCCGGAACGTCGAGGTTGCCTCGCCAGCCAGAGCGCATGGTACGTGTTCATTCCCATAAATGTCTATAGGCAGATGATTGACTTGATGGAACCCAGGGCACCTGGCAGTTCATGTCTGTCGCTGTGCTCTCATATGGTCTGAACATTTTCGGAGTCGCGGACGAACTCGAGTCGTTCTTCCACGTGCTGTTGTACGCTGCCGTCCGGTATCTGAAGGTACAGAACTGCGACCGTCCCACGATCGCAAACTACCTCTACACCTACTTCGACCTCCACGGTGTCGACGATGAGGTGTACGTCTGTGGGGACAAGAAACGCGAGACGGTCACCGAAGGCCGACTGACCGTCAGCTTCAACAAGAAGCTGCAGTTTGACAGTCCTCTGGACATCTTGTTCTCTCAGCTGTTGTCGGGGTTCAAGGCGCGCTACGCTGTACTCGCAAAGGAAGTCAAGGCCACGCCTGCTATCTCACCTCTGGAATCCGAGACACCAGCTCCTTCCAACGACAATGGGCCCCTGCTAGACGAGATGGATCTCATGGACAGCGACGCGGACGATTCCGAGTCAGATGGATTTTCCGATGATAACGAGGAGCTGGAGGTTTCTCCCCAGACTCGAGATCTAGCTGAGCAAGTCTCCAC